AAAAGGTCATAACGTAAGGTAAATTTTCTGTAATATAAAAATTAAACTATTGAAACTGGCGTACTAAAATTTGCCATGTCGTACGCTTGTAAGACGGAGTAAAAACATGCGGGTGTGACGTCCTCTTAATAWTGGTTATTGTAGGCTTGTATCGTTAATATGGCTTGACCATAGACATAATATATTGCAAGTTAAGATATAGGGAATGTGCAGTCCATTAATATTAATCTATGTGACTATGTACTTGACGAGTACCAGTGTTCCATTTAATGTAAGACACTCATTATTATTTCAAAACTACCTATTAACATTTATTTAAAAATATTTGTTTTATTGTTTTATATAATAAGTCATTAAAAACAACATTTTTTCTTTTCTATTTTTTAATCATCATGGTTTTTTAATTTCTTATTTTAATCAGAATATATTTTAAGTATGTAAAATGTACCTACATGGTACACCAATACATAGAAATCGAATTTTTGACGTTTATCTGGTTCATGAGTTCTCGACACTTATTAGGTAGGTAGGTATTTTACTATTATTGTAATATGTACTATACTATTTTACCAAAWGTGTATTTGTATAGATCGAATTAATCTAAATAATATTCTGTTTAGGAAATTAATATTAAAAATGTGATTCTTAAGAGTCAAGAATCTAAAAAAATACAATACAAAATAATACATTCCTTTTTTTCTCCAAAAAAATGTCCTATTGTAACGGCTTAAAAATTAACATGTTATAAGAGAAAAATGTACAAAAAGGTTTTCTGAAATTATAATAAAWGTCTTATGTTTAATGGATTATCTGCTGATACGTTATTTYAACGATGTATTATTAAATATTAATTAATTATTTTATTCAATAAATTTTCCACCACATTTCTTTAATAATACGTAATGTATTTTTATGAAACGTAATACTGATATAGTGGAACATTCCAATGATTAACATATTTAAAATTAATTTTTTTTGGATATTTAAAATTTTTATGTACATATTTTATAAATTCTGAGCCCTGTGTAACTATGTTTGTACGAATTATTAATTTATATTACCAACGATTCTTCAGATAAACTGAGTTTTCCAGCTTTTAAATGTCGTTATAAACGGTTATTAAAATGATTGTAAATTTGTAGATATAGGTAGTTTACCTATACTACATATAGATTTG